GTCATATCGGTTTTGTTAATTAAAGAATAGAAAAAGTTGCTTGCAAAAACTAGTTATGAAGGGAAAGAGTATTGAAGAGGGGGATTTGGTTCTGTGCATTCAGTAACCAGGTTCGATGGAAACGAAAAATTGATAGCGATAAATATAATGATGTAAAAGCACGTAAACCATTTATCACTATTGCACTCAAGACCTTGCCCAATTCTAAGAAAAATAATTTTGATTTTTTGAAAGAAATAAGTTAATTCATCACTTGTATTTTATCTAATAGTTTATTGAGCTAATTCATTATAAATTTATTAAGGTTAAAAACCTTATAAAATACCAATTATTATACATAATAATAAGCTTGCAATATATGGAATAACTCGAGATACAAAAACAAATGAATACGCGATGGTGTTTCAGTATTCTGATAAAGAAAGTCTTCATAAATATTTAAGAAAAAAATTTATTAAACTTACATTGCGGGCTAAACTGCAATTACTTAAAGATATTTCAGATGAATCAGATACTATTCACAGATTTGCAGGATATATTCATGCTGACTTTCACAGTGGCAATATCTTGCAAGACCAAAGTCTTAATAATAAAGTGCAGAAGTGCAATCCTATATCGCATATCTAGGATTGTCTAGAAAAAAGGATGAAATTGTTTCAGAAGGCGATATTTATGGTGTTATGTCCTTATGTTGCACCTGAAGTTTTATTAGGCAAAGAATTTACACAAGCAGCTGATATTTATGGCTTCGGTGTTATTATGACAGAGATGTCAATCGGACAAAGACCTTTTGATGGATGTAAATTTGATCATAGACTTGGGTTGAAGATTTGTAGAGGATTACGGCCAGAATTTACACCTGAAACTCCCAACTGCTATGTTGAATTAGCTAAGCAATGCGCAATGCATGGATTCTGATCCACAGAATCGGCCTACTGCCTTGGACATTTATAAAAAAAATTTAATGATTGGCTTGATGAGATAAAAAAAAAAAAAAAAAAGTTCAAATGAAAAAAAAATGAAACTAAAAAGCAATTTTTAGATGCAGACAAAGTTATTAGAACGTTACCAATATCAAAACACCCGTATGAAATGTATACTAGTAAAATTATTAGCACCAAAATAATTTCAAATGCGATTAAAGGTATTTATTTTATATATTATGCTGTATCCATTTTATTAAGATCAATAATGTTTATTTAGATATCGATATGTCTCAGGCTGATTCAGATTAACTTAAACTTGATATACTGATAAATAACTTTTATATAAAAAATTTTTATTAAAAAGTATATTAGATAATTATTAAATATGAAATTAGCATTGGTAGTAAAAAGTTATAAGCAAATTAATTTATGCAGACATGTGATAATGACGGTACACTTAGTAAGAACTGTTTTCCGCTTCATTCGGATAATAAAGTATGCGATTATTTATTATTCTTTTTTTAATAAAATTTTTTAAATGAATTCATAATAACTTACTAATAACTTATTACAATAACTTACTATAATAAGTTATCACTAACAACTCTAAAATTTAGAGTTAATACGTAGCAATGAAAATTAAAAACTTATCAAGTTAAAATATAAAGAAAAATTTAAAACATTTATTAATTATACAGTATAAATAAAAATAAAAAGTTATTAGACTAGAAATATTGAATTAATTAAAAATCTCACTAAATACCTACTCTTACCCTAACATAAACTCCCGCCCTAATGAAACTCTATTTGAATTTTGATACAATTGTATGATATCTATAGCTAATTTTTTTGATAATACATATATAGATATAGATTCCAAGGTAAATTTCTTTCCAGAATATAATATATAAAAAAAATGTAAAGCAGTAATTGGATATTAATTTGCAAAAATATAACACAGGTTAATTTGATTAATTCTTAATATTCTTAATATTTAAATAATTAGCTAGATCTAGTGACCAATTTAACGTCTTTTCCTTGGAAAACTTTTTCCATTCTTTCATCATTCCAATTATCCTCTTTAGCGATCTCTTTCACAACAGCCACCATCCTCTCTTTCTCTTTTTCTAATTCTTTAATTTTATTCAATAAATCTTCTTCTTTTCTTTCATCATATGATCCTACTCCAATAGCAACGGAGCCAACTACCTTAATCAACCTCCAAAACCTAAGTATGATAAATAATCCTACAATTTCTTGTTGTTTTCCGTGTAAAAATATTTCTAAAAAAAACGTAGTAAAAACCAAAAGTGCGTCAAATATATGGAAAAACCAATGTGGACCTTTTGTGAAATATGACAATCCGAATACAATAAAACTTAATGTGATTTCAATTAAGAAAATTACGTTTATAATGAACGCTATAATTGTTAATGTTTCGAATATCCAATGTTGTTCTCGTTCAATATTTGCCCAAAGAAAAGATAAAACTATCATCGTCATGAAACATAAAAAATCAATTGTCACGAGAAATAAGATTAACCAATGTGTTTTTTGCGCTTGAAGGCAACGTTTTAAACGGCTACTAAGTGATTTATCAGATTTATCAGAGGTCGATGTAAATTCATCTTCCATAATTATATTTTGGTTTTGTTTAAATATATATATATATATAATTGACGATAATAAGATTTTAATTCTTCACAACTTATATATGATAATTAACTTTTTAAATCTGAGAATTGAAATAATTCTTTGCTTATTAATAATGATAAGCTTTTAATGATTTGTGGCAATGTTATTTATGTTGAGAGCCATCCATAAGTTCTAAGCCACGGTGATTTTATAGTAACGGTAATACAACTTTGTGTTAGAAATAGGAAAGTTATAAAGTTAGCGTTAGAAATATGACAATTAAACTAAAATTCGAATCAAAAATCCATATTTGTGTAATCCGATTACAAAATATTTGATAATCTGAATTAAATTGAAATAACTTCTATTTATACAAGTTCTGGGGTTTCATTTATCTCTTAAAAAAATAGATCAAAAAAAATTCGTATGAACTAGAATGGACGAGCGGAGATAATGATATCGATAATTGTATAAAAGATTTCAAATTTAGAGTTAATAATATGAAGATATTATTGATATAATTTTGTAATATTAAAAAAATTGATGAAGGTAGATTTGACTGTATTTTCTGTAATTTGGTTAGACAATTAAAGGTTTGAGTTAAATTATTTAGAAAGAAACTGTATGGCATTGTCGCACTAAAGACTTTGAATGCTAAAAATTTTTTAAAGGAGGTAAATTAAAATATTATTTATCAGTCATATAAAATGCAGATTATACAATAGTAATCTAAAGGTATACCAGTGGTATACCGTATGGATTGACTCAAATCCCGAAACAAAATGAGTATTTCAATATGCTAATGGTGGAAGTCTATAAATATTTAAGAAAAATATTTTAATCGATCACTATGGATATACAGATAGATATATGAAACCTCATATTTTGATAATTAAGATTACGATGCGATTACGATGTTTGTTTTGAAATTTCTGATCGTGTTACGTTTAGGGTGGAGGGCACAAAGGTCTTGGGCATGCCCCAAGGGCATGCCTTTAAGTTATAGGGCATACCTTTCTCATATAATTAATAAAAAGATGCAATATATAATGATTTCAATTAGCCAATCAGAATATAAGATTGAATATAAGAAATTATAACAAATATTGTATTATTAGTAGTTAGTAACAAATTACCTATGCAATTAAGATATGAATTTACGATATTAAATAAACTTACTTTGATTAATCAATGGTATTTATACTTGAAATTGTACTTTCTTACTAAGTTTTTATAAGTTTTTACTCCAAAGATCAATTATATACCTTATCGGATCTTTAAATGCTTTTGACTCTACAACCTATTATTTGCTACTGGAATCCTGCTATTTTATATACAGTTTAGATAATATGATCTGATTCAGAAGATTGAAAAAGCAACGTTAGATTCAAAGATCGCTCAAATTGGTTAGTATTAACTGCTTATATACAACAATAGCATTGATTACTTGAACCCTATCTACAGGGGCATGCCCAGGCACGAAGGGGCATGCCTCCAGTTCAAGGCATGCCCCCCTGGGCATGCCTAAAAATTTTCCCGTGCCCTCCACCCTAGTTACGTTACACTTGATCTCGAAATGTTGGTTGCGTCACATTTATTGTCACGTGAGAGTGAAACTGTTGTGGTAGTGGTTAAAAACTATTTAAACCATTACCGACCTTATTATAAGTAGTGATTTGGATCGGTTGGGCTATAATCGGTTAACCGGCCCGAATTGAATAAATTTCGGGTAACCGGTTGAGTAAATTCTTAATCGGTTGACCGTACAACCAGTTGAGTATCGGTAATCGGTTGACAGGATGTAAATGACATCAAGAAGAAGCAAATGGTCCGAGAACTTCCGAAAAGAAAATGAATGAACATAAAAAATTTGAGTAAAGGTCCGAGAACTTCGGAAGGTAAAGTGTGAAGTAATCTTAATCAGTTGCAATCGGTTGACATTAAATATGTAGGTTTTCTCGGTTCAAATCACTAATTATAAGTGCCAAAGCCTCACCGCATGTTAGTGTTACACTAAAGTACACAAAAAATTTCCAAATTGCGTTTCTGATGTGAATTTCATAATTTTTATGTTGGTGCATCAAAAACGTAAATTTTGTTGTACAGACCGAATAATATAGGGTCCTCCGCT